TGTATAGGATTAAATACAAAGTCTCTTGATAATCTCTCAGTTTCATTTCTGGAACTCAGTCTTTTCCCATACTTGAAGGAGAATCAAAGTCTGGTCTACAAAGAGAATACCAGGACAGACAGGGCTACACAGAAAAACAAAGCAAAACAAAAAGAAAGTAACTAGAATCAAATCCAAAGGACATGTGTATTTCCTTTTGTCTTCAATCTACAATTAAAGAGTTTCCATCAGTGTCCACAGTTTTCCCAACCAGCTTCATTTCTCTACGTTGATAGGAAGAAACCTATTTCCAGAAGTAACCGTTATGACTAATTCCACTTATGGTTGATTTAAACATGACATGGTTTTCATTTTAAAATACTGTATAATATTTTAAACAGCCATATGTATTTATTGATTGTCATTCTTACAGTTCAGTATAATTTCTTTGAGAACTATTTCGCAATGGTAAGAATATTTGTCTATCACAGTCATTTGCTCCAGTAAGTACTCTTCAGTATCATTCCCCAAACATGAACATATTCTTCTCTTTTTAAACCACGCTGGATTACTGTATTTATTTCTAATCATCCCTTTAACAGATGTTGAAGTAATCTGGGGTAATATAAACAACTCTTTTAAAGAGAGAAATCACAGATACAGCAGGAAAAAGGGCAGCGTATATCAGGCTTTCATAATGGCAGTTTTGTCAGGGGAGGGAGAATTTTTTTTCCTCCTTTTGTGTATGTGCAAAGTTCAATTAAGAATTTCTAGAAACACTTAATCTTTACCTATTGAAACCCCCAGCATGCAGCGTGACAGGACGAACCTAGAAACAAACAAACAAACAAACAAAGCATGGCTTCCTGTGGTGAAGGGAAAGGGAAGCAGCCTTCTGCCTGCTGGAAAGTGGAGAGGGAATGAACTTCTCCAGCGTTCGTGGTCGCAGTGAAACAGTTGTGCTGAGCTTCAGAATGGAAGCGACATATGTGCCTCAGTTGGACGAAATGATTCTCCAGTCAAATCGACTGCTAGGCCTGCATGTTGGTGCAAGGTGGAGGCCTAGATAATGAGGAACAGGCTCCTCACGAAGCAGTGAGTGGATAATGCTACATAAGTATGGAATTATATACCGTGTTCTCAACACTCTGCTTAATGAGAGCCACCACTGCAGCGAATCACTTGCCACACACCCGAAATGAGCCATTAACTATCAAGGGAAAATTGTCTTTGCTGCTTTTAGCAGATGGAGCAAATATTTTACAAAGCAATTTTACATACCAAAAACATTTGTGTGCTTTGGTAATGCTGGTTGTTTTACATTATGTTACCTTCTACTGCAGCATAATTTTCCATCTCATCGAAGGCAAACTTGGCATTTTTGATTTTTAAATTCTCCATTAACAATTAAACATGGAGTATTAAAGCTGTCCTTAAACTTTAAGTAAGTACGGAGAGTTGTTTCTGACTTGCTGGAGACATTTTCATTTTTTTCTTCATCCTTTCAACATATTTTTGCACCCTAAAGAGGGACTGTTCCTAATGGTTGTAGTGGAAAGGAATGAGTGAAAACCTCACTACTGACTGCAGAATGAAAGTCAGCACCAGGTGGTTAGCAGAACGTCCACTGGCTTAAAACTACCATTGTGGATTGTGGGGACATGCTTTGGTCCACCAATTTTTTTTGCATCCATTTAAAATGTTTAAGCTTCAACTAACAGAACCTCAACTCAAATGGATTTCCAAATAAAGAGAAACTGGCCTTGGCTATCTGGAAATCCAACTGGCTCCACAGTTTTCCATCTCTCCTTTGAACTATGCATAAGGCTGGTTTCTTTCTAAGGCTAGCTTCCAGAATTTTTTCTTGGTCCAAGCAATAGAAAGAGAGAGCATCTCCCCTGGTAGCAACTCAGATCACACTCTCTCCAGAGGCCCCCGGTAAGCATTTTCTAGCAGGTGCCTGGCCTCACTGGGTTGCATCTCTACTGAACCAGCCATTGTGCAAGGACAAGGCGACATTTCTTTGGAGGTGAGAGTGGAAATTCCCCTCAACCACTCTTCCATAGCAAAGAACAGGGAAGAACAGTTCCTGAAAGGAACTTAACCGGAAGGAGGGGACATAGATGCTGGGTAGCCAACAGAAGATATCTATCCTACCATTTCCCCATATTTACCATAGCACCTGTAGTTGATCTCCTGCCACTGATGGCTGTTACAGGCACAGATCCCACTCTGCTATGGCACACTGGGAGCAACTGGGTTTAAGCCCAAGTTTTGCTACTTCACCCATTAATTACCTTGTCATTATTCACTAGACAGAACTTAATTCCACATCCTAAGTTTGTAAAAATGTACTTCTGTTCCCGGATTATGATAGGAAGACAGGCAGGCATATGATAAGCAGACATACATAGACCTGTCATACACACCCTCCCTTACTTGAATATGTGAGCTGCAAGGCCCACATTGTCATCACTGTGGAGGTGAGGGAGCAAGTCTCTCTTCATTGACACGAAGGCCATAAGTACTAAGGTATTAGTTTAAGACTTATACATCCCACTAGAAATAAATTAGATAGTTAATATTACCCCTTCCGACCGCATTTTTCCTCACTATGTCTTTAGAGAGCTAATCATGACCCCCAAGCTGCTTCTGAGTGCCCCAGAATCTCCACTGAATGCCACCCTGTCAGTGCCTTCAGCTGATGGGACACGAAGCATCCTCCAGACTCCCGAGGCAGATTTTTCTTTTAGAAATCTACCTCCTTGTTGTGGTTTTGTGCACAGTTGAAATGATAGGCATTGTGGTAGAATGACTCACTTTGTAAGCAGAAGTAGTAGTGGCACCTGACACTGTGTACAGAAGCCTTGTAAGTTAATTATTGACTCTCACACATGTTGCAGCTGAGGTGACACTCCATATATGTCACCTCATTTATCTTTCTAAAGTCCTTAGAGGCAGGGAATCCTGTGACATCCACCCAGGAAGAATTCGTGGTTCTAAAGTAGCCGGTCCTTCAGGTGGTTCCTTAGAAGTAAGGAGGAAATCTATTGAGAGATTCACCTCTTCTATTCTGTAACTTAGTCTTTTCTAGCGTTCTGCTGAAGATCTGGCACCTGGTCTAAATCAAGCTGCAGGGCTTTCATCTGCTCCTTCACTGTTTCCTCTCCATATTTCCCCCTTACAAAAATAGCCCTCTAGCACATATGTAACTGAGTAGATGGCTCCACTTCCCTTCAAAGTGGGAGAGACAGAAAAGTCTCTCTAATCAAGGCAGGAGAAAAAGAGAATTTTCCACCTGTCCAAGAGAGGCTTGGGCTACGAGGTTTCTTTTCTCTGGGATAGTTTTCCAGAAAGAGGCAGACTCTAAGCCAGCCTTCACTGCCCCCTGTTCAGAGACAGTTTTCTTCCATGGGGCAGAATGTGAACTCAAACATGTGTGAGGCTAGAGAATGTGGGGTGTTCAGAGAGCAGAAGGGTTCCTTATGCTGCAGATGCTTGCTCATAATTTGCACATGAAGTTTGACACTATCAGTGAATTTGCAGTAAAAATGAGAGTAAATGTACAATGTACAGGTATGGAATGCGAAGGCCCGTTGCTTCGACTGTCGTCTTCCTTGTTCCACATGTCAAGGCAGAGGTTTACTGCATGAGCAGACTTCCCTAGCCCTTCCTAGCAGGACTCTGTACCTTGCGTTGGCCAGAACACTCTGCTTCTGAGTGTGTTTTTGTTTTGTATGTCAATCACTTACTAAGATTAACTAATGATACAGCCAGGAGTTTCCAGGTAGTTAGAAACAATTCAGATTATTTGGACCTGCCTATCATAAACTCTAAGATATTTGTCTTTTAGTCTGGATTTTCAGTGAGCATTAAAACAGAATAAACCAAATGTTTTAAGGAATCAGGAGATGGCAGAGGATAGAGGAGAATCACTTTTTAAATATTAGGGAAATTGGAAAAAATGAGTATACAGATGATTTCCAGTATTACAGCCAGCCCCATCCCTAGAGCGGATGCTTACAAATCACTTAGAGTTCTCTCTCAGATTCAGAGATTTCCTGGGACCCTGGAGCAAGCTGGAGCTTGTTCCTGCTCTGCATTAGAACATGATGAATACTGAGCACCAAAGTGTTTATATGTAGTGCCCTGCCCTGCACCTGACAGAAATAATGTCTAAACTGTGGCTTCCATTTGAAAAGTTTTAATGAGTCTTAAAAGCATTATAACTTAGATAGAAAAGAAATTATCGTAGCAAGCTACACCTTTTACATAAAAAGATAGACTTCCTATTGATTAAAGAGCTTCCTTCTGTTCTCACTCCTGATGGGAGGCTCTGTTGTCTTTGGATCATCTCACCGATGATAGCTATGTAACTAGACAGGTGACACTGTGATCTGCAGGGATTTCAGGTTGACTAAGGCTGACCGTAGAGCATGTTCTCTAACTGAAACATGTTAAAATCCCACCTTTACAGTTGTAGCCAAGAGTTTAGGCTTTCCTATCAACACTGTAAAAGGCAGCTTTTACAACAGAGTGGGCACACGTTAAAGAGGCAGAAGTATCAAAAAAAGACCTCACCAACTCTGTTGTTCCTCCTAAGCTCAAATGCTGTTAGATTCATAGAATAAAAAGTATTCTCATCTAAAAGAGTTAAGGGACAAGCTATTCAACTTTACATTTTCCAGAATGTGAAACTGAGGCTCAGAGTGGAGACGCAGAGGCCACTCTGCAGGTGGGGCTGAAGGGAGTCTGAAGCCTGGACTCCTCACGACCAGTACGGGGTGCCTTTAGGACACAATATGCACAATTAGCACCGATTTCAGGGAGGGGAACTCACACTGAAATATGAAAAGTGAAATGGCTGAAAAAATAGAACAATCTCAAAATGGCTTTCTGGCTCTGGGTAAACAGTAACCACATTTTTTTGCCTGTTGGAGGCCTGGTTTTTAATCACTCCACAAGCAGTTTTCATTTCTGTAGTAAAATTGCTTGTGGTTCTATTTAATTTGTTTCTGCAGGAGCCAGCTCTGGTGAAGATCTCCGAGGAGCTGGCGGGCATTTTAGCACAGCACGTACAGCCAGTCAATGAGAAACGGTTCCCAACGTGGAGGAAATTCCTCCAAACGTTTCTCACTCAAGGTAAATAAGACTGTAAAGTTTCTGTTGAGGGTCAGTATTACAAGCTGAGATTCTGGTTCTGGGTCAAGCCAGGGCCAATTCAAATACTCTTCATCAGTCGATGTGGATTTGGAAAATGCTTCTGCAGCTGACTTTGTTCTTTTTCAAGCACTGCCTAAATATTTATCTTGCACCCAGCCTCTTAAGTAAATAGGAACTGAACATGCCAGGCATGCCATGCAGAACTCAGTACTCTGGGCATTTCTTAGACCAGACTTGTCTTGAGGGGCAGCTCTCCAATGAACCACATGTGACCTTGGACAATCCTCAGAGACCCAGTTTCCTCAGTTACTTATTGCATATAGTAGTTAGGAAAATTCAGGGTTAGAAATAGGGACGTTTCTATCACAGACTGATGAACAAAGGCCTTTACTAGATCTAGTTTTCTCTCTCATTTTCTAGGAGAGCAGAAATGCCCTAGCTCAGAAAGGTAACATTTTCAAACCAGAATCCTCTACAGACTAGGAATAAAACCAGCCTCCATTATTTTTAGATTCCTCTCCTTCCTCATCCTCATTTTGGGAAGTCAATGATGAGTGAGAGGATGAACAGACCTAAGTTTACGTGCAGTTCCTGAGGCCTCTGGGGTGCCACACAAGGGCACAGTTAGGCAGAGGCTTCCCCTCTCTAGGAGGTTGCACATAATCTGCTTAACTTACTGCTGTCATGTGATGATGATAATAGTACACTGGCCTCAGTATATAATGATAAACTGGTAATTCTGCCATGTTATGACACCTGAACAATGGTAATAGCACACAGTCGCTGTTATATGCCAACATCATCCTAAGTAGACACACATTAACTTAACTTCATCGTCCTGTCAATCCTAGGAGTGGGTACTGCTATCACCCTTACTTCATCCTCCTGTCAATCCTAGGAGTGGGTATTGCTATCACCCTTATTTGAAGCACAGGGAGCCCAAAGTACGAAAGATTAGATCATCCCAGATAATCTGCCAACACATAGAAGGGCCATAAAAGTCTACCCTATGTTTCTGCAGGAGTCTTTGCCAGGGCCAGTGAATCTGTTCATTGGGAGCAGGACTCAGCCCTATCTATGAAAGGGGTTTGTCGGAAAGGACAGGCCTGTTGGCTGTAGAATACATTGGCTGGGAAGAGTGTAGCAGATGCCCTATTAATGAATTATTTAAATAAGAGGTTGGATGCCAGCCATCTAACAGGAATGCTAGGGGGGATTCTCTCTCTCTCTCTCTCTCTCTCTCTCTCTCTCTCTCTCTCTCTGTGTGTGTGTGTGTGTGTGTGTGTGTGTGTGTGTGTGTGTGTGTGTGTTAAGGTACCTTCAGTGTTCTCTCATCTCTGTAAGTATATGAATAAACAAATTTCCACGTGAACCCCTGGACAGAAAAGAGAAAATAAGGAAGTCAGCTCCATTTGTAATTAAAAAAAAAAAAAAACACAGTGTCTTCCACAAGCAAGCAAATAAACAAGTTTAGAAGGGATTTAAATTAAGAGGTAAAACCATGAAGACCTCCAGTCTCTCTCAGAGTATTAGGAAGCTTACATAATCAAAGATCAGCCTGAAAATCCTTCCTCTAGAGCAGTGGTTCTCACCCTTCCTAACACTGTAATCCTTTAATATAGTTCTTGTTGTGCTGACTCCCAGCCATAAAATTATTTTCACTGCTACTTCATGTAAAATTTCTACAGTTATTAATTGTAATGTAATATCTGATATGCAACCCCTGTGTAAAAAGGTTGTTCAGCTCCCAAGGGGGTCTTGGCCCACAGGTTGAGCACCACTGCTCTTGACCATTTCTTTTTACGTGAGTCCCTTAGCTCTACCTCCCCTGAGCTATGTGGCCACAAGCTAAGGCTTCACCTTCACCTCTCCCTGTCCATCTCCCTCCTTCTTCCTCAGTCATGTCATAAACACTGTGGAGAAGAAGCAGAACAGGCTTTATTAACCCAATTTCACAGAGGAAGAAACTGAGACTTAGAGATGTTGGAAAAAATAACACTCCAGATAGATAATGAATGGGAACATATTTATATCCTATAATTTCAGTACATTTTAAAATAGGGTTCTTATAAGTCAGTGTTCTCAGTCTGTGGGTCATGACCTCTTTTGGATCAAACAATCCTTTCACAGAGGTCACATATTAGATATCCTGCATATCAGATATTACATTACAATTCACAACAGTAACAAAACTACAGTTACAAAGTAGCAAAGAAAATAATTACATGGTTGAGAGTCACCACAACATGAGGAACTGTATTGGAGAATAGCATTAGGAAGGTTGAGAACCATTGTCACACGTGAGGAAGGTTGAGAACCATTGTCACACGTGAGGTTCTGGATGGGCCTGAGCCCTAACCCTAGTGCATGCAGGAGGCCTTGTGTATTTTCTGACTTGAGCAGGACATCACCCCATGTTCCTAACTCTCACCAGCTTCCACCAACCGCCTATTTCATCCCACTTCTATTCTCTTGAGTGAGCTTACAGCCACAAAATGTGCTACAGATTTGGTTTCTACACTGTCATAGATTTATATTAAAGACAATACATTCTTGGGAAAAAATTTAATTGCTTTGAAAGGAAAAAGACTGAAGTCTTGATGCTAAGAAGACAACATAATTAAGCATGTTTGAAATAATATATCAAGATTGGTTACTTTTTGTAACCAGTGTAATAGAACACCATGATCAAAAATGACTTATGAAAGAGTTTATTTTGGCTTCTACTTCCAGAGGGAGAGCCAATAATAGTGAGGGAGGAATGGAAGCAGGCAATCGAATAGGACACTGAGAGATCACATTTTCAACCTCAAGAGGGAAGCAGAAAGATCAAAGTGAAAGTAGGGCAAGGCTATAATCTCTTAAAGCCTACCCCAATGATGGTCTCTCTCCAAGGCTCCATAAGCCCCAAAACAACTCCACCAACAGAGGACCAAGTATTTAACTATATGAGCCTTGGGAGATATTTCTCATTCAAAACTCCATGGTATCCAAAGTGATACTGTAAATCATAAAAGATACTGATACATTATCATCAGTGACAGCCAAAGTACCAAGTTACCTGAACTACAGAGACTCACTGGTTTGCTTGTTTTTTGTTTGGTTATGTTCATCTTATTAAATTCCAGCAACTGGCATTCAGTTGTTATATACTATAGCAGACCTCATTTGAAGAGCATCTTGAACAAGCCAGCAGATAAAGTAGAGATTGAATATGCAGCCCCCCAAAATCATTTTCCTTCTGAAAGTTAGCATTCATTAAGGCTACCCCTTATCAAATTTATAGGCACTGAATAAAAATATCTCTTATATGACCACCTTTGAGAACAGCTAAAAATCTCAAATTTTAACTATATATACATGATCCTGCTTCAAGTGTGGTTTGTTGAGATGGACAGAAATCACTACCCAACTATTACTTAGCAAAAGCAGCAAGTCCTGGTACTTGCTCACTTTTTCTTCATATGTGTGTGTGGCGGGAGGTTGAATGTGCATGCATGTGAGGCCAGAGGTTGATGTTGAGTGTCTTCCTTGATTGCTTTAGACCTTACTTTTGAGACAGGGTCTCTCACAAAACATAGGACTTGCTTATTCAATTACATGCGCTAGCCAATAAACCTCAAGGATCTTCCTGTCTCTGCCTCTCAAGTACTGAGGCTACAGGCATATGTTACCACACCAGTTTTTACAAGGGTGCTGAGATTTAAACTCAAGTCCTCATACTTTTGTGGCAAGCACTTTACAAACTGGACCATGTCACCAGTCTCTATGTTTGGTTTTCTACAGGATTCCTATGACCAGCATGACAGCCAGTGTTTTCTATGCCTATTACAAGCCCACACCTGTCAAACCTTAGAAAAGTAATAATGCTAGACAGAAAGAGGGCACTGGTTATTAGGATACCAACAGTGGGCGGTGGAGAGTTAATTCCTTGAGGGGTTTGACCATAATCCTTGGATCCTTCATTAATGTAATGAGTGGTTCCAAATATAGCATTTATAAGGTGTTTGTAATCATGATCGTAATCAAGACTACTGTTCACTGAGCCCTCCCATGTGTCAAGAACCAGACTAAATACCATAGGCACAATTTCTCAAACTTTAGGACAGTTTGGTGATGTAGAATTATGTCCCCCATTTTATAAGTAAAGAAAAGCAAGTCAAAGGTTGAAGCTACTTGTTCAGTTTCCCAAGATGACAAGTGCAAGGTCTGAGCCCGAGTCCCCCTGCCAAAACATAGATTATTTCCTTCCTCCTGCAAGCGGGTCTTTCTCTTGACTGTGTTCTTTTATCTGCTCCATGGTTTTCCAACCAGGTGGCGTGATTGAAGGATACCCACCTGCAGACAGTGTCACCAACCTCACCGTAGACATGTTGATAGAGCCTGATGGAGAAGTCAGGGTACTGTCAACGGGGGACCAGTTTCATGCTGATGGCCCCTTTATTTCTTCTGGTACCACCATGCCTCAGACCTCAGTGGATCCCCGAGTTCTCAGTTCTTTGTGTCTCCAAATTGGAAATGCCTGCAGAAAGAAAGATGTGATTGGTTACTTTTCTATAGATCTGGTGACTTTTATTGATCCAAACACCTTAGAGCAGCAGGTAAGTTGAACAGTTGGCATATATGACACTAAAACATTCCACACCCATGCAGCAGACAGTATCAGGAAGCACCCAGTACTCACTATGCTCTGATGAGCTGACTGTAAATCTATATCTGTGTAGTAATAAGGGTGGCAGGGCTGCGTTCCCAGCACCCCGGCCGCCTGCTCGGCTAGCTTATGCCCGAAATAACAACACACAAACTGTATTCATTTAAACACTGCTTGGCCCTTTGGTTCTAGCCCTTACAGGCTAATTCTCACATCCCGATCAACCCATCTCTAATAATCTGTGAGCACCGGTCTTACTGGGAAAGGTTCAGCATGTCTAACCTGGCGGCTTGCTTCATCGCGTGCGTCTGCCTGGGAGAGCGGAGCATGGCATCTCTCTGAGGCGTCTGCCCCTGAGAGGAGAGCTGTGGAGTCTGAGCTCACTTCCTCTTCCTCCCAGCGTTCTGTTCTGTTTACTCCACCCACCTATGTTCTAACCTATGAAATGGGCCAAGACAGTTTCTTTATTATAATTAACCAATGACCTTCCTCCATCATATCTGTGCTATCCATGCTGACCTAAGGGAGACCAGGCTTTCTGTCTATAAATAGGGTCAAAGTTAAAACATTTGTGCAAAGTAGAAGTTTGAATGACTGAAACTCATCCAATACAGTTGTTAGCTGGGTCTCTCATTTTTGTCCATTATTGCTATGCTTATATCTTATTGAGAAACTATTTTACACTGTCCAGGGACTGAACCTATCTAAAGTGTGTTCTTAAATAGAAAAATGAATAAGCAGAAATGAGTTAAGAGTCTTATATCTGATCTTTTTTTTTTGCCAATAGTTCACTAACAACTCAAATTATCAATGTTTTCTTTAAATCATGTATTGGGAAATACTTTAAAAACAAAAAGATCTAAGTAATCATGCAATCGATATCATATGACCTCTCCTCACTTAAAAGATAAAATGACATCAGCAGCACCTCCAGCCATAGGTACCCCTTGCTGAACATGGAGCTCTTCCTCCTCCTTGTGAACAGGTGGAGACTTCTATCTTAAATTTAGAGGGTTGACAATTTTATACATCTTTATACTTTTAGTGCACATGGAAGTACCAGAAACAATATATAGTTCCACTCTGTGTTTTTAAGCATCCTAGAGATTATAGATACATATATTCCATAATATGCTTTTATTTATTCAAGATTACATGTGTGATAGTCTGTGACTCTGCATATTTGATTTTTATAAATATTTTTAAAGCTTTTTTCTATGCTTTTTTCCCCTAGAATAATAATATTTAAATTTACTACTTCATGAGACTCAGTTTGTAATGTTTGGTTCCTCTGCTTTTTATGTTGGGTGTCTAGACTTGTGGCTAAAGTTGAAATGGCTTGAGGTTTCCCACCCTCCAGTGTCCCTAGTGTGAATAAGCTGTGGGTGTTTTATATTCATCGTTCAGTTTTATCTGCTATTTCAGTCAGATTAAGGTTTAACAGCAAGAGTTTATGTTTAGAGTAGTTGGGGGGTTGCTGGGTAACCATTTTCCACTTGTCTCTATTGGGTTTCTATTTTGTTCCCAGATTCATAAGACAGAATAAAGGACAGACTGAAAGGCATTCAGAAACTTCCCTAGGGAAGGAGGAGGAAAGAAACCACACCCCTGGTGAAAGACTAGACTGGCAGGGAAGGGTGTGGAGGAGATTACCTTCACAAGCACCTGTCCTAGGAAGAAGGACAAAGTCTGAGGTTCCTAGGGTGGTAGAGAAGATGAAACTATGGTCACAGCTCACTGACAGTTTTTACTTGAGTTTGATATAGGAAGACATGCACACAGGAGAAGGATCTCCTCCTAACACAATGTTGATCCTTCCTGAGTTCACCACCTATATATACTTCTGAGAAAAGATACCCAACACCAGTCCTGTGCATCTGACCAGCCCTCTCTTATCTCAGATCTTTTTTTTTCTTGAATCCACCACACAACCTCCCCCAATCTCTTTTGTTCATTGTAGCACACTCTGCCAGAAAAATGCTGCCCTCAGCCTGAAATGCTCTTGTCGGGATCTCACTATATAGCCCCAGTCTGGCTTCAAACTTGATCCTCCAGTCTTGGTATCCTAAGCGCCAAAGTTACAGACATGAACCACCCCCTGCTCCTGCGTTTTGCCTTTTTTTCTGACTGGGTTAACCCCTCTTCCATATATATATATATTTATATATTAAATACATATAATATTTCAGCACAGGCCATACTTACCTAGAGACTTCCTGACTTCCCTGGCAACATCAAAATCACTGTTTTGGCTTCTCATATTATTATCTACCATAATTCTCCTATCACTTGTCTCAGTGGCAATTTAGACCTGTTTGTGTGATCATCTGATTATCTGTCTTCCTCGGTGGACACAGCTCTGCATGTCTCCTGTGCTCCCTATTGTTTGCTACGCAGTATCTCTGCACTGGGTCAACAGACAGGTGTTCAGGAATTATATTTGTTGGGTGAGTAAGCACAAAGCACATGCAAGCAGGTGTTTTCAGGTGTTTAGAAGAGCTCATTGAAATGAATGAAATGGATTTATATAAACCCAAGATTCTCTGATTTTATCATATTATGGGTTCTGTTTTCCTTCACTAATATTTGAATACATGGTCACAGGTGCTGCAGTAAGTTCCCAGTGGCCACTCAAAGGGTATTCCTACATTAGCAAAGGAAATATATTTTCTGTGTTTAACTTACAAATGCAGGCATATTCTCCAACAGTTTTGCAAGTGATATCACATCAAATAGCACCCTAATATTCTGACTGGCCTCCCCGTGATGCCAGTGAAGAGATGGACATATTCTCAGCCTCTCAATTCTTGCATGTTTAACAGATAATGAACATTATCTCATTTTAATCAGTATTTATTACTGATAATGAACAGCTTCTCATGTTTGTCAGCCCTTCTACTTATCTCCACTTAAATGTCTGGTCATAAAAATAATTATCTGGTTATAGTTTCGTCCCCTTTAAACTAAGTTATCATGAAAATGTTGATTTTTATATATAAAAACTCATTATTCGATCTACATGTTGCAAATACTTCCTCTCCGATTGTCATTTCTGTCCTCTCCCATATAGAGGTAACTACTTATAAATCTATCAGAACATATACTACACTATGAATTCCTGCAAATATCTTCAATAATACTCTAATGCCTCAAAATTCTTTCTAAACTACACCTTTTCCATGCTTAAAAATAAGGATAAACACTTTACCCACCAGTAAGGAACTTGAGTCTCTTCAGCCTCAATACATCTCACTTACTCAATGTAGTCGTCTGTATCCAGTCTCCCAACCACTTCTGCCATTTTCTTCACTCGGCACATGTGTGCTCCCCACCATACCTCATGGACTCAGACACCAAAGCCTGCCATTTGTGCTATTTCTGTGATATCTGCCATTACACTTTAATTCAAATAGTCAAATTTAACTATTTTCTGTTGTATTACTTTGGACTTACTGTTTTTCCCTGGTCTTAGTTTTCTTAATGTCCAAGTAAATTTTCAGTTCAGAAAATTATTTATTCTAATGATGTTTTCATAATACTTGCGTTCTATACTGGCAAATTCAAATTTTAATAAAATACACTTTTGAAAAATTATGACAAATAATCACAAAGATTTATATAGATAAATTAATCACAAAATGGGCTAAATTGTAACAATAGAAAAATTTTAAAGAATGTATTATATATAAATGGAAACAAATACTGTGATATTAAAACTCCTGTTTTTGAAGATGTTTAAAAGTGTTAATATAATAATAGAAGGTTGAAAAGCAAATCATAAACAATATCTGTAATGTTATTTTATAAGAAGAAATATATATATATATATATACATATATACAAAGCAAAAGGATCCTAAAGATATATACTAAAATATATATCTTTTTTTTCTGTATGAGAGGACTGGGGCTGTGATAGGCAGAACAATTGTCCCTTATGGTACCTTACATGGCAGAAGGACTTTGCAGATATGACTGTTCTGAATTCAACAGTGAGATGGGAATTTGGAATGTCTAGGGACCAAATACTCTCAGGTTCATTTTAAGGAGGCAGGAAGGCTGGAGAGAGGGGGGGAGAGGGAGAGGGGGAGGGAGAGAGAGAGAGAGAGAGAGGGCACTACATTACTGACTTTGAACCAGTCATTTGTGCCACTTTACACCAGTGAGCTTGTGGCAATTCATTACAGCAGGGCTAAGAAAGTAACAAAGAAATTGGCTGCTATTTTGTTTTCTGGGCTTTCTGCATTTCCCTTTATAGTTTAATTAATGTATGTGTTTATATTCGTTCATTTGTTTTGGTACTACAGTTGAACCTACCGCTTTGTATATGCTAAACTACACCCTAGTCCCTGCATTTGCATTTTCAAGAGTAAACAAAGATGTGTTAAATTTCTAATCAGAGAAAGAAATGAATAATTATAATCATAGATTTGTATAGAGGGTTCTAGTCTGCAAAGCACATTCACATACATGGTTTTATTTATATACACACATCTTAGAATAGATACGAGAAGCAGAAAACTGAGGTGCCTACCTCCATTCAGATTTTTGCTAGGTCGCTCCAGCTGGGACCTATAATTTACCATGCTGGCATGAGGGAAGCAAGGGGACTAGGGCCAAGGAAAAGCAAATAAATTAGAGGGGTGCACTAAGGACAAGCCTGCAGTTATGAAAAAAAAAAAACCCTCCAGATTCTGTCATAACCTCAGGAGATAAAGATGAAGGTCTAAAGCAGCAGAATGTGAAAATGGTTTTAGAAATGTAGGATTTAAATAATAGACACCAGACATTCAGCCTGGACTAAATACTGAGATTCTGTTTCTAAATAAATCAACAAATAAATAGAACTGGGAAAGTCAGCTAGAACACAGCATTGTAGGGGAATAAAAGGAGGAGCTGGTCCCTGGAAAGTGGAGCTGGTGGAGCACAGCTCAGTCTCCAGCAGGGTAAT